ATATTCTGTGAAGAGCTTTGAGATGTCTCGAAGATGTGAGAAGGCGCTATATCAAATGCAGGGATTATTATTATTATAACACTCATTTTCCAACAGTCTTGGGCACTTTAGAAATTGTAATAGCAACAGCATATCTTCTTCATTGAATAAAATAAAACCATATACATCCTTGCAACTTAAGTTTGCCAGGCTAAAGGAGATTGCAAAATAATAGTTTAGTTAAATGTGGCTAGATACAATTTACAGTATTGTTGTATTTTAATACTGTTCATTTATGAATTATTCATAGATGTTTTATCCCTATAATTTGCTGTTCATTCAGTATGCCGCTGTACAAGCATTATTTGTTATTACGATTTATTATAATTTTTCTGTCTTAGAAATATAGAGATTTTCTTCACAGAAGAGTCCATTCAGCTTATCATGTCTTTTTATTACTATGTGTCTTTCTAAATCACCCAATCCTTTTTTTATTAATTCCTCTATCCAATTTTTTCTTATATCCCTTTACTGCTCAGTTCTCTTTTCAATTATTCAATTGGTCCAACCTGAATAGCCACTTGTCATAACAAATTTCAAACCCTAACAATGCTCAGTGAAGAAATGCCTTCTCATCTCTCCCCTAATACTTTTGAGTCAAAAAGATGACTATAGTACAATATAGTAGCTTCCACGATTTTTAGGAGTTGGTAATATTGTTGAATTTAACAATGCAACAGTCTATTTGATGTACTAACAATTAGATTCAATTGTTCGTACAGTATTGTACAGTAGTATTTCATAGTTAAGTGAACTGCAACCATTTCCTGTATATACACTTCTGTTTGCGGATGATATCGTGCTGCTGGCAGACTCATCTAGTGACCATCTGCGCTGCACCCACCATCTTGAACACTGGGGTAACTGGTGGGACAAGGTGTTAGGTGCCCCCAAGTGCAGAATCATGATTCTGCACTGCCCAAGGGAAGACTTCGAGCGAATTGATTAGAAGATACAAGGGGCATCGGGCCCAATTGTTGATTCTTATCAGTACCTCAGGATCATGGTGGACACCAACGTCAGCCTGGACACTGTCCTGGAGGACAAAGGGCACTCTGGTCATCCTCATCCCTCTTCAAGGACAGCAAGGTCCCAATGCAGGTCAAGCTTGAGGCATACAAGACCCATGTGCAAACAGTGCTCCTTTATCAATTTGAACTCCTGGGGATGCAATGAGGAGGCTTCCTCCGATTCATTTGCAAAGTCTAGGATTATGCAGTGAGATGGATTTTGTGGCAAACATGGGAAGCAGCGGCAGGGAGGGCTCTGGCCTATACTGACCTATCGCTAAGTATCCTGGGCCCGGAGTTGACTTCACAGTGAGCACGTCTGTTTACCAAGGCCCCTCGCATGAGGACTTGGATTAAGCAGCTGATGCTAAGCCTGGTTCGCAGCATTGGACTTGGACCTCAAGAACATCAAGGTAGCTAGCACGTCACAAGCTGTCCTGTAGAGGTCATCCCACCACCTTGAAGGCAGATGCCCACCAGATAGTTGATAAGGAAACTCTGAGGTTTGGTGCGACAGCTGCTGGAAGGTGTTACCTGGAGACCAAGTTTGTGAGCACACATTCATATGTCTAGCTCTTGGCATCCACCTTGATTGGCCTGCAGAGAGGTAAGCAGCTGCTGCTTAAACTCCACACCTCCAATTGGTGGAACCATTGCTCAGTGGGAAGGGACGTGTGCCAGAGCTGTGGATAGGAAGACGGTAGCAATGCTCTTACCCATTTCATACTGAGATGCGTGGTCCACCAGGAAGCTCGCAGGGAATTCCTTGAACCTACCATCATCATAGTGAGGTTCAAACCTGTGCGTTTCAGATGTCGGACCACCAACTAGTGACTATCTTCCTTGAGGGGAGGTAAGCAGGGCCTCCTTGAAGGTGACATGCCTGGCAATGGAATATCGGAATCGAGCCAGCCCTGTGGCGATCTCGGTAGTCTGGTTCCCGAGCCAGGTGGGTCTGCAGTACACCAGGGCACTGTTGATAATAGCACAGCCAGCCTGGCTCATTGGCAAGACTTGGGAGGGCATACCAGCCACTGGGAGCAGGGAATCCTCCCACTTGGCTCCTGTTAACCCGCAAGCCAAAGCCCTAACAGGTAGGTTGGTCCTAGCCCAATAAGTAGCAGGAAACTTGTCAGAGACTATTAGAGCAACTCATCAAATTTGTCAAATTTGTATTAATATTCTTTTCAGGTTTGAACCCTATAATATTCTGACATGTCTATCCAGGGATATGATCAAAATGAATTTGGTAAGGAATAATGATATTGTACCACTACACAGAAAACTGATATTCTTTATTACATATTGGAGTTTGGTGCCTGATCTTAAAGCAATATGATGAAGAAATACATTGATTGAGCAGAAGAAAAAAGTAAAGGATAAGTGTAAAAATAAATTGTAATGAATGAAAAGGGGTGACTTTAATTGGAGGGAAAAGGATCCAGTCAAGTACTATTTAAATACTTTGTTGGCATAGAAAACAGTATTGTTGAAAAACTGTATCCTAGAAATCTTAAAAAAGTTAAATTGATGAAACCATTTGATGGAATGCTACATTTTCATTGGTACGATTTTTATTGTTGGATTTGTCATTGTTAGATGTGCTGCAGTAGTGTCATGTTCTGGTCGAGAGTGAACACAAATTGGCTGTAATTTTCTGCAGACCTAAATTTTGTGTGAACCCAGACGAGTGTCAGCCCGTGCTGTATTCTATTCAACTGTGGGGTATTCATACCTAATGCCAATACCAATCTTGCCAAATAGCCACACATTCTAGCTGGGATTAGGAATCCTGAATTTTTCCCCCCTCCTACCTACCTCAGGGACATAATGCCACACCTAAACTAGGAACCCAGAAACTTCAAAATCTGTGGTGTCAATTACATCAATTACAAGAATGTTTCAGGCTCAGTTACAGAATCAGTGCCGGGGTCAGTGACAGACTCAGTTACAGAGTCAGTGGCAGACTCAGTTACAGAGTCAGTGATGGACTCAGTTACAGAGTTGATGTCAGGCTGTTACGGAGTAGGTTCCATTACAAACTCGGTATCAAGGCTCACTTACAGAGTCAGTGCCAGGCTCACTTCGTCAGTAACAGACAGTTGGTGCCAGGCTGTTACAGAGTTGGTGTCAAGGCTCCTTTACGGAGTTGGTGTCAAGACTATACAGTCAGTGCCAGACTCACTTGCAGATTTGGTGCTCCGCTCAATTGCAGATTCAGTGCCAGGCTCAGTTACAGAATCAGTCTCAGGTTCAGTTACAAAGGCAGTGCCAGGCTCAGTTACAGAGGCAGTGCCAGGCTCAGTTACAGAGGCAGTACCAGGCTCAGTTACAGAGGCAGTGCCAGGCTCAGTTACAGAGGCAGTACCAGGCTCAGTTACAGAGGCAGTGCCAGGCTCAGTTACAGAGGCAGTACCAGGCTCAGTTACAGAGGCAGTACCAGGCTCAGTTACAGAGGCAGTGCCAGGCTCAGTTACAGAGGCAGTGCCAGGCTCAGTTACAGAGGCAGTGCCAGGCTCAGTTACAGAGGCAGTACCAGGCTCAGTTACAGAGTCAGTGTTAGGCGCAGTTAAAGAGGCAGTGCCAGCTCAGTTACAGTCTCAGGCTCAGTTACAGAGTGGAGCCAGATTCAGTTACAGTGTGAGGCTCGGTTACACAGGCAGTGTCAGGCTCAGTTAGTGTCAGGCTCGGGTACACAGCAGTGCCAGGCACAGGCAGTGTCAGGATCAGTTACACAGGCAGTGCCAGACACAGGCAGTGTCAGGGTCAGTTAGTGTCAGGCTCGGGTACACAGGCAGTGTCAGGCTCAGTTAGTGTCAGGCTCGGGTACACAGCAGTGCCAGGCACAGGCAGTGTCAGGGTCAGTTACACAGGCAGTGCCAGGCACAGGCAGTGTCAGGGTCAGTTACACAGGCAGTGTCAGGCTCAGTTAGTGTCAGGCTCGGGTACACAGCAGTGCCAGGCACAGGCAGTGTCAGGATCAATTACACAGGCAGTGCCAGGCACAGGCAGTGCCAGGGTCAGTTACACAGGCAGTGTCAGGGTCAGTTACACAGGCAGTGCCAGGGTCAGTTACACAGGCAGTGCCAGGGTCAGTTACACAGGCAGTGTCAGGGTCAGTTACACAGGCAGTGCCAGGGTCAGTTACACAGGCAGTGCCAGGGTCAGTTACACAGGCAGTGCCAGGCTCAGTTACACAGGCAGTGCCAGGGTCAGTTACACAGGCAGTGTCAGGGTCAGTTACAGTCTCAGACACACTTGCAGAGTGTGGGGTTGGCTGATGGGCTGTGGACTGGTACGAGGTTGGTGGATGATCACATGATAGGGACCCAGTGGGGCAGGAGCTCGCTCCAAACCCGCCATTTTCCTGCAACTCCTCCTGTCTCTTCCCGACACAGAGAGAGAGAGAGAGAGGGGGGATTTAAAGGGCGAGCGAGCAGGCGGGGGGAGAGCAGAGCAGCAGAGGGGGGGTTGGTGTCAGTGAGCGGGCGGGGCCTCGCCTGGTGGGTGTGAGGGGCAGTGGGTGTGAGTGTGAGGGGCAGTGAGTGTGAGGGGCAGTGGGTGTGAGGGGCTGTGAGGGGCAGTGGGTGTGAGTGTGAGGGGCAGTGGGTGTGAGGGGCAGTGGGTGTGAGGGGCTGTGAGGGGCAGTGAGGGGCAGTGGGTGTGAGGGGCAGTGAGTGTGAGGGGCAGTGAGGGGCAGTGGGTGTGAGGGGCAGTGAGGGGCAGTGGGTGTGAGGGGCAGTGAGGGGCAGTGAGTGTGAGGGGCAGTGAGGGGCAGTGGGTGTGGATCGCACTGACTGTTCCGCGCAGCTCTCTCTCTGCTCGGGGAGGAGTTTGCAAAGCGCCGACCTGTTTGGGTCTGTGTCTCGGTTGGGGTGTGTGAGAGAGTGAGAGAGAGAGAGTGAGAGAGTGACCGTGTGGAGCCGGAGGGGTGAGGGAGGGAGAGAAGGGGAGGGGGAGAGAGAGAGAGAGAAGGGGTGAGGGAGGGAGAGGGAGTGAAAGATGATGTCGGGGCAGAGCCTCACGGACCGGATCGCGGCCGCTCAGCACAGTGTCACCGGTTCGGCCGTCTCCAAAACCGTCTGCAAAGCCACAACACACGAGATCATGGGCCCCAAGAAGAAGCACCTGGACTGTAAGCGCCTCTCGGCCCCTCTGCCTTCCCTCCCCCCCTCTCCTGCCCTGGTGTGGGTGCAGTGCTGTCAGGGCGGGCGGTGGGGGGTGTGTGTGTGTGTGTGTGTGTGTCTGACCCCCTGTACCAGGCCCCAGATACCGCCCTTGGCCCTCTCTGCTCGAGCTGCCCCCCACTCGCCTCTCTCTCTCTCTCTCTCTCACTGCATCGATGCACATAATCCTATTGTTTGTTTTGCTGCTGTTATTGTTTTCGATGCTTCTTCTTCTCCTCCTCCTCCTTCTTGTTCCAGAAGAGCCTTTATGGTGTTGGTGTGCATCAAAAGAAAAGGTGTCGCGGCTTCAGTCTGTGACGGGGAGCGAGTTGGTTGTGTGCTGGGGGTGGGGTGGGGTGGGGGGTGTGGGGTGGGGGGGTGTGGGGGACAGGACAGGACCCGGCACTCGCGGGCGATTCTTTGTGGTCTCTGATGTGATGTGGTAATTGTGGCGACATGTCTGAGAGCTGCCATTGAGGGGAGGGAATGGACAGGTCCCACCTGGTCAGCACAGTTGCAGCGAATACCAGCATTTTCCACTGGTTTGTGCGGACTGACTGACTGACTGACTGACTGAGCAGCTATTCTTTCAGCTTCTCTTTCTTTGACTGACTTGACTTGACTTGACTGACTGACTGAGGCAGGCAGTAGGCTCTTGTTCACAGAATTGGCTGCCGCGTTCGCCCACAAATATACAGTCAATTCACTTTACAGTGTGTTCTGTGAAGCGCTTTGGGTCGTCCTCCTGACGTGAAAAGCGCTATATCAAATGCAAGGATTATTATTATTATTATTATTAAGAGGAGCAAATCACCAAAAGATCCCAAGAGTCTTTTTTTTAACTACGAATGTGCCTGGAAACTAGTTTCTCACGGCTTGAAGGGCATTGCGGAATGCCCCAGATTTCATACTCCCTTCGTGTTTACTGAGACGTCTGCTCGGCTGCCGCCGGCGCTGCCTTGAATGATCTGCTAAAATGTTGCACCGGGTTAAGGTTTTTTTTTTGATCTGAATTTATTGTTCCATTTTTCACCTCAGCGGTGCTGTTGGAAGCGAGTACAGTATTGAAGCAGAATTGAATCTCTGGTCCTGTTGGCTGGTAACAGCCTATTTTAAAAAAAACATCCATTTTTTGTACAACATCTGAGATGCTCTGTAAAGGACACAAAATTATAGGTCGTAGGTTTGTCAAATTTAACTTGTTCACTATTTTGCCCAGGAGCTGTTGCAATAAACCATAATAAAATGTTAATCACTGGACATGTCTCCACTGACTGACCCACAGATAAATCCAACAAACAGCATTGCCATTGGTTTCTCTTTCTCACTCTCTCTGTCTGACCTCCTTCGTATTAGTGTCCTGTAATATAAATGTGTTGGTATGACCAGACTGCTTTATAGGTGGATACTGGCTGTGCAAACATTGGACCCACTTTATTTTTAAATTGCATATGTAATTTTAAAAAAAATCCTCAAATGAAACATTTGTACCAGTATTTGCCTTTTTGTAGCTGTTGTTATTCAGAATTGGACACTGATTGTTTTATGTTGTTATTAGCAAAACAAACTTATTTGTAATCAATTCAAGAACAATGTAAACTCAAGGATTGTTATAGTAACATCAAAATCCAATAATTGAACATTGTAATGTGTCAAGGAGTGATCAGTCCCACGTCGTGACTTGGAACTGCATAGTCTAGCTGACACTCCAATGCGGTGTTGGGGTTTGTTACATTGTTAGAGATACTGTCCTTCGGATGAAATGTTAAACCGAGGTCCCGCCTGTCTATTCACGTGGATGTTAAAGATCCCATGGCACTGTTTGAAAAGAGAAGGGAGTTTCTGGCCTGGCCAACAACTCCCCAAATAAAATTGGTCACTCACTCTATGGCTGTTTGTGGGATATTGCTGTGTGGAAACTGGCAGGTGTGTTCACCCACAAAATACACAGTCAATCCACTTAACAGAATATCTAGTGAAGAGATTTGAGATGTCTCGATGACATTATAACACGCTATATCAAATGCAAGGATTATTATTTATTGTTAATTATTATATTCTGTTTTTATTTGCTTGCAGTATCCTAGGCAGCAGATGTCAGGGATATTGGCAACCCAAGAGGAGGTGCAGAGTGGAAGATACGGCTATTTTTCTCAGAGTTGTACCTCAGCTGCTTGTAGCTGTTTTGAGAGCACATTGGCAGTCTTGAAAAGTTTGTGTGTGTGTGTGTATGTGCACACTTAATGACCGTTAAGTGAGTACAGTGGTTTTGCATTGGTGTGCAGTGCAAGTATTTTAGAAGGATTTGTATTTGAATGCCACATGTTCAGTAAAATTTGTAGTTGGTTCCTGTTACATTTTGTGTTCAGAACATATATATGTTGTAAGTCCTGTAGCTCAGTGGTTAGAGCACTCGCCTCGCAAGTGGGAGACTTGGGTTCGATTCGCAGCAGGGCAAAACCGTGGGCAAATTTCCTTACTCCACATGCCTGATAATAATCCCTCGAGAAAAAAAAACAATAATAAAATTGGTCATTTTCAATCCACGACTGTTTGTGGGACACGTCTGTGCGCAATTGGCTGCTGCGTTTCGCCCACAAATATATAGTCAATTCACTTTACAGTATATTCGATGAAGCGCTTTGAGACATCTAGAAGATGTGAAAAGCGCTATAACAAATGCAAGGATTATTATATATACAACTTGAAATCATGCACAAGATGAAAAAACATGTTAACAAATGAGGATATTCCATTTTTAATTTATCTGCTCTAACCATAACTTAGGTTCATAATCTTAAAGTGTTGAATTTTGAGAGGCAAAGGTTGATCGATTTGCATCTCTGAAATTAGGTTGTGTAACTTTCGATTCACTTATCTTTTGTTTATTGTCGTCTTAAGTAGATGTCAAAATTGACGTGACTTTTGCTCAATAGTTAATCGGTGACTGATGGAGGAGGGATATTTTGTGGAATACAGTAATGAATACTCTGGAGTAATTTCTAACCCATTTTCTCATTGAGAAGGTACAGAGTTCTTGTGTTGCAAGAGCAAAGCTTTAACAGTTTATAGCTGTTGTCTGATCCCCAAAATGAGATTATGCACATCAATTACAAACTCAGAATCATTCCAGGATGTTTTGTTTAGAATCTATTCAAGGAACTTCCTGAGGTGCTTTTGTTGCCAGAGGCTACTATTCTTAGTAGATGCATGTTACAAATGGAGGTAACTGTTATAGGATGCTTCTTGAAATTGATGAGTGATGGTGTGTATTCACATTGAAGGATTGATGGTGGAAAATAATTCCCATGTTTATCTGGTAATGACTGTTGATTAGCAGAGGGGAGAAAAAGGTCTGTAGGTAATAGTGAATTGCCACTTGATAGTGGGTAATGAAGCTTCGGAACAATTCAGCTATTCAGTTGGTGTCTACAGTTACTTAACCCAGTATTCAAGGCAAGTGTTTGTTTTTAAGGAGTCACACTTGGTTGGAGGGAAAACGTCTGCTTCAGGTCTCTGCTAAACTACTGTGAAACTGATATTCATGTGGTGAATGTGAGTAGTCATGGCTGAGTAGTCTCTGCCATCTTCCTGCTTGGGAAATGCTTGGCTTCTTCACAGTGCTGCCATACAATGTCACAGTAACTCTTGCTGTGCTAAGGATCACAAATATTACTCTTGCCCAACCATTCAGTAGTGAGGCATGATGAACCTGAATGTTCTGTGCTACCAAGTGAGTTGTTACCATTGTAAGAATATGAAGTGGGTGCAATTCTTCCACTGGCAAATTTGACATTTTGGATTTGAGTCCTGTGTTACCATTTCTGTTCTGTCATTCATTTAGCGTAGCTTCCAGAGCTATTGTGCTATATATGTGCTTCTGTTTGGATACCAGGGTAAAAATGTGTGTGGCTTGATGCCTAGGTAGTTGCTTGTACCAGCAAAGGAGGGATTTGCAGTTTTTTTTAGAATGAGTCCATAGCAATTGGCCATACAAGGTCATTGTTTTTCGATCAAGGAGAGTTATATAAAGGGCTCTTCCAAGTGGGAAGATGTTTTAATATTCTGTACATTGTTGCAAAAGATGTGTGTAGGTGGCAGCTCGCCAGAAAATACTGTACCGTTGTGACTTAGTAGTTGGATGTGCTCTTGTATTGGAATCATTCTCACAGATTTGGAATGATCAGAAGAATGCTATACAGAGTATATCAGGATAAGGAATAAAGGTTAGCAGACTATTTTGTTGCCAGCTTGGCAGGCTGATCAAAGGTCCCCTATATTTGGTTGAACTTACAGGACTGAGATACTGGCCATGAAATTAGCCCCTTTTTTTTTGGTCTGTTTAGGTGTCTGACACATGCGAAACCCAAACCAAACTGAGAATTCCATGCATCTCATCTCACATGGAAATTCCAGCGCTAGATTCTTGGAATTAGTGCTCACTCTTTACCTGGAGGGACACATCCTGTTTACCTAATTCCAGAAAGTATTAGGTGCAGTTTGGCAGCAGCCAAGGCTTGGGAAGCCCAGAGTGCGTGTTGGGATGCTGCTGGAGTTTAACCTGCTAAAACCGAGTAGCTTGCCATTGATAGCACAGTCTGGCAAGCTTTCCAGTTAGGACTACCCTACCCGTTAGGGCTTTGGCTCGCAGGGTTAACAGGAGCTGACTAGGAGGATTCCCTGCCCCCAGTGACTGGTCTGCCTTTCCAAGTCTTGCCGATGAGGCTGGCTGTGCTGTGATCAACAGTGCTCTGGAGCTCCTGGGGATGCAGCCGAGAGGCTTCCTCCAACCCATTTGCAAAGTCCAGGATCAAACAGAGAGTTGGATTTATGGTAAACACGGGAAGCAGCTATAGGGAAGGAGGTCTCCAGCCTACACTGACCTGTTGCTAAGCACTCTGGAGGCTTAATCGGCTTCACCGGTGGCACATCTATTTGCCAAGTCTCCTCGCGTGAGGATCTGGATTAA